GCCCTTGGACGCCCCCCGTCCGCGCCCCGGCCCATATCCGGCCTCCTCTCCGGAAGGAAACGATCCCTGTCGGGCCGCCTCCGGCTTGCATATCCAACTCCCTATTCGCTCCTCCTCCCCCCGGCTCTCGCTCTTCTTCCCATTTCCCGTCCCGTCCCGCCCTCCGCCGGCCTCCCAGCGCCCGCGTCCGGGGGCTCCACTGCCCTCCTCCCGGCACGTCGGCTCCGCTGACCTCATCGGCGGAGCGCGGGTCCCCAAGTCCCCAGCGAGCGCGTCCGTCTCCCTCCGGGCTCGTCTCCCCCAGCCCACGGCCCCGTCACGTCCTGGCGTGACCCTTCCCCATCTGCCCCGCCCAGGTCCGCCAGGGCCACTCTTCGCGTTTTTCGTCCTGTTGGCGTGGTACTCTCCGTTGCCGCTCCGCGCCGTCTCTCTCTGCTCCTCGTCCCGCTCTCTATTCGGGAAACCATGTGTCCCATCCCAGCACCTCTCCTCTCAGCCTAACCTGTCCCCTGTCCCTACTTTTACTCTTCACCTCCCCTTTGTCACTTGGTGTCTCCCCTAAGAACATTTCAGAGGGACTGGAAATACCTATCCTGAAAGGCTGAGGGAGATGATGGTTCAGCCCCCAAAGAACATAAAAATCCCATGGTCTCCACCTGTCGGGCTGGGAAATGAGGGGCTGCCTAATGGTCCCCTCTTCAACTCTCCCACTGATGGTCTCTTGTCTAGAAGTAAAAACCATGAACTGTGTTCACTCCCTGGCAATGATAGAGAAATGTGAACAGGTTCACAGGGCCAATACCCTGAAGATCCTAACTAACGAAACTCTTACCCTCGCCCACCCAAAATATGTGAACTTAATCAGAAAATAGAAGGTATAATTTTTATTCTTGCCTATAACCCTTTTATTTTCCAGGGCGATGACAGGAAATTTTTACCTCTCCAATGAGGAAAGAAAAATCTCCAGCGACAGAATCTCAAAAAAGTTAAACTGTATTTGGCCAGAATCATTGTAAGTTAGTTACATTATGAAGAAATTACCTGAAGATGTGTGGCATTTTGAAGAACGGAACACTGGAAAATTTGTTTCTAAAGGTTGTGAATCTAACTATAGTCTGAGGTGCATTTGTCATCCCAACTCCTCCTTGTCTTCAAATTTCAGTCTTCTGTTTTAGACATCAAACTCAAAGGGATGGTATTGAATGGCATTAGACATAATGGCTGGATCCAGCAAGGTGTTGGCAGCGTCCCTGGAACAGTAGGCCTGCCTGAAGCCCTTGGAGGAATGGTTCTTTCCACACCACTCACTGGCTGTGCATGAGCACGTCTGACTAAATGTTTCATCTGCTGGACAATGAAGCTCCTTTTCCATGTCTAAGTCTTGCCCAGAGACACTTGGGAATACAGATTACTGGACTCTTTCTCAAAGATGAATTTTAGTTAGAATACATAACTAGTCAAACAAACAGGCCCTTTTTGATTTAAAAATGTATCTTCCCAAGAACATCTTAAACTTTCTAGAACAGTGCTATTCAAAAGAATTATCCCTATGATGGAAAAACTCTTTATCTATATTGTCTGACAGGGCTGCCACTAGACACATGATTATTGAGCACTTGAAATGTGGCTAGTGTCATTGATGAATTTTCAATTTTAGTTAGTTTTTATTTAAAGAACCCCATGTGGCTAGGGAGTACTATGTTGGAGAGCACATTTCCAGGGGATTTCCCATTACATATGATCAGTAGTAAATAACAAATAGTCCACAGCTGCATACTCTCCCCTGCAGTATTCAGCTAGACTTCGTACTCCTGAGTGCCATTCAGGTAGTTAATCTACAAAATCATTAATTCTCATTGGGCACAAATAACCAACTCATCAACTGTTTAGAATATTTGGGGAGAATGTTAACTTAATTCTTTCACTTATTACACAAGCATGTATTAGAGATTAAACATTAGACAAGATGGAAGCCTCTGAATATGGAGATGTCAACAAGCTATTCACTCTTTCTCATTGGGAAAGCTTATAACTCAGTGGAGAACACAGGCATTAATCATCACACTATAAAATGAACTACAATGAAACTGCAGAGTACTCAATATTTACAAGGGCATCTAATTTAGCCTAGGAATCTTGGAAACCACTAGGAAATATTCAAATAAAATGAAAGGTATTGAAGTGATATTCCATATTAGCTAAGTGATCCTCGGCAAGTTATTTAAATTATCTGAGCTTTAGATTTCTCATCTAGAAATGCATTTCTGTGATGATTTATTAAGATAATAGACACTTGGGAAATGTTAGTTGCCCTCATTTTTCAACTCCCTTTGTCAGGATAAAAATCTCCTGGATATAATCGTATTTTATGATATTTTATCTTTTAATTTATTTGACAAATTATTATTTTGTATCTACTATAAGCAAACACCATTACTGAGAAACAGCAGTAAACAAAACAGGAAAAGACCTGACTCTATGACACTTATATTCTACTAGCAGAAACTTACACACAGACCTACAAATATATGTGTGGTGTATTTATAAAAATATATATATTGGATGATAAGTGTCCAGAAAAATAGAGAAGAATAGTAGGCTATGTATGTATTGGGTAAGGTCATTTAAAAAATTGACCAGAGAAGTTCTTCATGATAATATTAGAAGATCACAGGAAAAAATGAGGAAACTAACCATGAGGATGTCTGAAAGAAGACTTTCCAAGGCAAGGGAATAGTCAACACATACTCTCGGAGATAGACGCGGCATGCTGGGGAACAGCAGAGACCAAAGTAGTTAATGGGAGGGCACTGGTGATTTTCTGATAATTTAGGCCATTGTTGCCCAGTAGAATTAAAATGTGAGCCACAAATGCGAGTTATGTAATTTAACTGTTTTCTAATGCCACATTTAAAAACTGACAGATGCAATTTATTTTAATGATAATTTTATTCATCTTAATATATCCAAAATGTCATGACATTTTATTTTCTTATTTTATTGATGCTATTTTTTAATACAAAACCATTGAGTGTTTTCCACTTACAGCATGTCTCCATTCAGACTAGCCATATTTCCAATGTTCAATAGACACGTGTTGCTTGGGGATAACCTATTGGACAGTGCATATTTAAAGACATGCAGACAGTTGTAAAGACTTGAGCTTTTACTTTGAGTGACAGCGAAAGTGTTGCAAAGAGTGACCAAATGGTTTTTGTATTCACATTTCATGTTAATTCTTTTTTTTTGTTTTTTTTGAGTTGGAGTCTCACTCTGTCGCCCAGACTGGAGTGCAGTGGCCGCTCCCGGCCACCGCAGCCTCGACCTGCTGGGCTATGGCGATCCTTCCACCTCAGCCTTCCAAGTAGCCGGAATTACAGGCATGTGCTACCACGCCCGGTTGATTTTTTTATTTATTGTAGAGATGAGGTCTCGCTGCCCAGGCGGGTTTCGAACCCGTGGGCTCAGGCAATCCACTCACCTCAGCCTCCCAAAGGTGCAGGCTGAGCCACCGAGCCCAGCTATATTCATATTTTTTAATATTCATATTTTTATTCTTTTTTTTCCACTCTAGCTCCCATGGAGATTAAAAAAAAAAAAAAAAAAACCAGAGTGTTACAACAGTAGAATCAGGGCAAGCATTTATATCATTGAAGTGACCCCGTCACTTTGGAATACAAGAAACAAAATCTATTTTTCTTCCTTTCACATAGTAGCTGCACCTTTTCCTTATTTATAATAGTAGAACCTTTGGGAAAGATTGTTTATTAGATTTAATTTTGTTTATACTGAGATTCCTGTAGCTATTTATTGGGAATTTCTCAAAGTCAGTGAAGTAATTTTCTCATACACATTTTAATTTTGATGATACATGATTTTTAGGATAGATAATTTCCTGGGAAATCTCTACCATGTACTAACTTTTTATTAAAAAAAAAATAAAGTAATAAGTTCTAGGAAGAATTTAAGAAAAAAATTCAATTGAATAAGAAGGGTGTTGAGGGATTTGTATGAAAACAGTCATTGAAGAGAAGAGTAAACATAATTGCATACCAAAATATCACAGTATCTGTAGACTATGTTAGAATGAAGAACACGCAAATGCAAATAATTCTAATATCTCTGGCAAAATAGTCTGATGCAATTGCTGTTCTTACCTAAACAAGTATGTGTCAATTAGGTATACTGTGAAACACCTCATAAAATCTCTGTGAAGACCCTTGGTAGCTGAAGCACAATAACAAAAACTTCCTAAAATTATAATCGCTTACAAAAAAACTGCCAAACTAATTTCCTGTTCTTTTTAAATCCTTTAACAATTTCAAGCAGATCCTTATTAGACTATTTTTAACATATGAATCATTTGCCACCTTCTCTGAGCTAAAACTATTAACTCGTGAAGTTATATGGTCCAGATTCACGTTGGAGACAGAGTTCTTGTCAAGGTTGTGTTTCTGGCTTTGAAATAACATTAATGTCAACCACCCCAAGATCAAGTCTGACATGCTTAGCAGAGAGCCATTGGGCAGACTGCTCTGAGAGTATTACATTGAATATTTGAGCTAATCAGAAAGAGCAAGTTGATAATTACTTCAAAATCACAGAAAAGGTATAAATGACTTTAAAGGGGGATATCATCATTTAGTCACTTATGAAAGTTAAAGTTAAATATTTAAATGAATCGTTTGTCATATGCTTCTGTTTCATGTATAATCAAGTTTAGGTTTGTACTAACATTTTAATTTAGAATTTTTCTGTTATTTTGAATGCTGTCTTTGACAGATCAAGGCTGAGTTGATTTCATTTGTGTGAAGCAACTGTGGCATCTAGTGGTTAATAATCATAATGGTAATTCAGTTAGTTTCTAAGGGA